CTCAGCGCCCGCCGAGCTCACGGACGGCAACAGCGAGCACCTGAAGCGGGAGCACTCACTGATGAAGCCGTATCAGGGTGAGCGCGGGGTTGGGCGGGCGGGACGGACGCCCCGCGGCGGCCCGGGCTGAGCCGCGCTTTCTTTCTGCCCCTTGCAGGCGCAGGCTCCGCCGCGATGCCGCTGTGGGACTTCCAGGGCAGCACCATGGTCACCAGCCAGTACGTCCGCCTGACGCCCGATGAGCGCAGCCGGGAGGGCTCCATCTGGAACCGCGTGGTGAGAGCCCGGGGGGAGTCTGGTAGGGGGTGCGGGGCCCCGGCGGGGTCCTAGGACGGCCCCAGCACTTGCCCTGATGCTCTTGGGCGGTCTCTCTGCACAGCCCTGCTTCCTCAAAGACTGGGAGCTCCACATCCACTTCAAGATCCACGGAGCCGGCAAGAAGAACCTACACGGAGATGGCCTGGCGCTGTGGTACACGCAGGAGCGGCTGGTGCCGGGTACGGTGCACAGCTAGGGCTGACCCTGTCCTGGAAAGTTTCTTGCCAGGGACGGTGTTTGAGGGTTTCACTAGATGGGGATGGCATGTCCTGCACCTTCTGCCCTGGGAACAGGTGCCCTCAGTCATCTGCCTGGCAGTAAACAGCTCTTACAGCTCTTTTCGGTAGAAGTCTCAGATCACATACTCTGTTTGGAGAGCCTTCTGTTTCCAATATTCTGCACTGTTCCAGGTCCTGTCTTCGGCAGCAAGGACAACTTTCATGGACTGGCTATTTTCCTTGATACATATCCCAACGATGAGGCCACGGAGGTGAGTAGTTCAGGGAGCTCACTCAGTGCTGAGGTGGCTGTTTCCTCACAGCTTTGTGCTTCATGCCTGGACCGAGGAAAAGTTTCCTCGTGTGAGAGTGGGCTGCTCTTCCTGTCATGGGAGCTGGTAAAGAGATAAGAAGGACCCTGCTCCATCTTCTGCTGTCAGTGACTACACAGATGTTTCCCAGGCCTTTTCTCTTCTGCATGAGAGGGTGGCACAGGGCTGGTGTAAACTATGCACTACCTATTAAGTAAAGTTAGAGGAATCAGCCTAAGAGTATGTTCATCCCAAATGTCATGTCTTGAACATCTCTGTGCTTTGTTTACTCATTCCTTGTTGTTTCTGGCCTTATTCTCTGTTTGCAGCCTGGGAGTCTCTAAAAGAGAAACTCCTGGGCTGGCATTTTGCTCCAGAATTCTCCATGGCCAAATACAGATCAGTCCCATGGGGGCTGGTGGTCCTTTTCTTCTGTCCTGCTCCGTGTTTGTGAATCTCATTATGGCACAGTCAGAAAATGTGCTAGTGAGATTTATTGCATCAAAATCTAATACTTAAGTCCTAAAGCACCTGGAAATGACCCATCTCCCTGTTTTGATGCTCACTGAGAGGTGAATTCTTGGCTCCAGCTGGCCTCTCCTGCTGTATATAATCTACTGACTAAAAGCCCTGAGTGTGGTTTTGCTGCTTACGTGAGATTTCTGCTTGTTCTGGGCCTTGGGCTGTGTTCTTACACTTCTTGCCCAATCTGGTGCTTACTCTGCAAGTTTGGGGTGGTCTTGTTGCCCTGGCTATGTGGTACAGTGTGGGCTCAGGACAAGTCTGGATACAAAAGATCAGAAATGGCTACTTGGCTTTAGCCACAACAAGCTCTCACTCAGTCTAAAAGCAGCTTTAGGTGGAAAATTACCCTTGATTTCATTGTTCTGCCCATTCTGACTGTGCAGCAGAGCTGTGGCTCTGTTGCTGTGCCTAGCTGAGATCCTGCTCTCACTGAGGTTTCTGACCAGGCAGGGGAAGGTGGTTCTTGGTCTGCAGCTCAAAGGCACCTGCAAACTGAAAGCAGCCACGCTCTCCTCTCTGCAGCGCGTATTCCCCTATATCTCTGCCATGGTGAACAACGGCTCCCTGACGTACGACCACAGTAAGGACGGGCGCCGGACGGAGCTGGCGGGGTGCCCTGCTGACCTTCGGAACCAGAACCACGACACTTTCCTGGCAATTCGGTACTCCCGAGGTCGCCTGACGGTGAGATGTGGTGGACGCCTTCTGCGGGGTGCCTCATGCACGTGACGTAGGGCAGTGCTGCGGGGTGGGTGTTGCTGTGTCAGCGGGTGACCTGCAGATGGTTTTCCAGGCTTCACTGCCTGCCTCTCCTGCACCTCTGGCTCCAAAAGAGCTGCAGGCGGGCAGTATAGCAGCATGGATTCCTGGTGTGACGCTCCCCTGGTCTTGCAGGTGATGACTGATGTGGAAGACAAGAACGAATGGAAGAACTGCATTGACATTGCAGGGGTGCAGTTGCCAACCGGCTACTTTTTTGGTGCTTCTGCTGGCACTGGAGATTTGTCTGGTGAGAGGGGGCTTTGCTTGCAGGAATACCTGTTTGGAGCCTGGAATATAATGGTGTGGATGCATTGGATAGCTTCAATAGCTTTTCTCTGAATTGTTAAAATCTTGAAACGCTGTTGGGTAGGGACCTGTGGCCTGAGAAAGGAGGCGCCGTAAGAGCTAAGGAACATCTCCAATTGGGGTTTGATACCTGGGGTGTGAGGGCATCTTGAGAGGGAGGGAGACCTGCACCTGGCAGACCACGGTCCCAGGGGTGCTCTGAGTGCACAGACATCTCTCAGAGCTCTGACAGCGTTTGGTGCTGATGGTTATTTCCTAGACAATCATGACATTATCTCGATGAAGCTATTCCAGCTCATGGTGGAGCACCCTTTAGAAGATGAGACTGTTGACTGGACCAAGATTGAGCCTAGCGTCAGCCTCCTTAAATCACCCAAAGGTGAGTCTCTAACCTTTGGAAACCTTCAGTGGGGGATTGGGATGCTGGGGATGGACTCTTAAAAAACGTCAGAGCTGTGATACCATGTGAGACCTTGCAGGAGCTGGGATTGGGTTGGTCTCCGTAGCTGTTCTTACTCTTCCAGACAACGTGGATGACCCAACGGGGAATTTCCGAAGCGGGCCTCTGACAGGCTGGAAGGTGTTCTTGCTGCTGCTCTGTGCACTGCTGGGCATCATTGTCTGTGCTGTGGTGGGAGCTGTGGTCTTCCAGAAACGCCAGGAGCGGAACAAACGTTTCTACTAGGCAAAGACCTGGGCCCTGGCCTGTGCCCAAAACCCATCTTTTCTACGGGGAGCTGTAAAAACTGTGGTTTCTAAAAGCTGTTTCTGAGAAATACCAGAAGTATTTTCTTATCTGTCTGTTTGGCTGTAACCCCTGCCTGGCCCTCGGTGTCTGGCAGGTTGGACCGAGGGGGGTGATGCCCACTGCGGCCCCCAGGCCGGCGGTGGGGGAGCCTGGAGGTTGCTCCCCTGTTTTTTCCAGTGCTCCCCCCGCCAGACAGGACCTGCCATGCTGCCTGTGGCAGGGGAGTGAGCGGTGGCGGGTGTGAATGTGAGGGGGCTGTGAGTGGGGCATTAAAGGACTGACACCACCCACAGCTCTGGCTCTGTCTGTGGTGGGAAAAGGGGGGCGGGGGGTGAGATTCTGCTTGCGCGGTGGGGTAGGAGGCCTCGGGGGGGGCTGGGACTGGAGTGTGGAGCAGTTGGTGGGGATGGAGGTGGGAATTGTGGGGTATCCTTGGGTGTTTGGGATGGGCTGGGGATCCCGGTTTGGTGGCAGGTTGTCCCTAGAGGATCCCAGAGGAATTTGGAGGGGGCGGGCATTGTGTTCCCTGGAGGGTCCTGGAAGGGGGTGCCGAGGAAGAGGGGGTGTCCCAGAGGTTTCTGGTGCGGTTCCCTGACGCGGAGGTCACGGACACAAAGTACACGACCAATGTGATCAGGTTGATGCCACTTTATTAAGGGATACGCAGCAAGTTATACTATAGCACAAAGCACATGTGCTAAGCTGTAGCTGCTGATAGGTTAAAACTGTGTTTCTTCTACGACTGGTCTCAGTGCAGTGTTTACGTGCCGTGTCCTGTGACACTGACATCCTGTTTTTCTTAGTGTTTCAGTCTAACTTACCATTCTGCCATCTACTCAGTTTCTCAATCTATCTTGGCCTTGCATACGTCCTTCACTACACCTGCGGCCTACAGTTACAAACAGGCCACTCGGTCTGGATCACTCATGTCCATTGTCTTCTAACCATTCCACAAATCCCCCTTTTTGTTTTTGAGCAATCCAGACCCTCTTTTGTACTTGTGCCAGAAATATTGCACTGACAGTCCTCTGCAGGGCCCTTTGCAGAAGATTGATAAGACATGGCAACATTAAGAGCGCAGTCACTACAATCAGAAAGACCACTCCTACAGTTTTGACTAATGTTATCAATCAACCAGATAATCCCCAACCTTTAAACATCCTTGTCAGCCAGTCCAAGCCATCATCTTCCATTAAACTTTTCTTTCAACTGTTGAATGCTTTTATAAACAGATTCTGAACTATCGGATAAATTCATACAACACATTCCTACAAATTCATCACAACCATGTCCTTGCGCTAGAAGCAAAAAATCAATTGCAGCTCTATTTTGTAACGTAGTATGTCTAACACTATCAACATCAGTTAAAAGACAACTTAGAGCTAAGGAAGTAGCATTAGTTCATTTGGTAAACCAACACCCTAATTTATTTAAAGTAGTTAAAGCATTTGCAACGCCAACTCTTGGTGCCAACACGGAGGCCGCTATGATTTCACCTGGATTCCAAAATTCAATGTTTTCTTGACAAGAACTGCTAAATTGATGAACAGCCCTTTGGACTTGCTTATGACTTCAGGTCACATTCAAAATCATTGACATGTTTGGTGTTAGTAATGTAAGATGTCTGAGGCTACACGGGACTCCATCCAATTTAGATGGAATGCCACCCTAGGCACGATCTCCGCAGATTAAAAACACACCAGGAGGTAGTGCAAGAGGAACAACAGAGGATCATGAAGCATTAAGTACGGTATAATTACACCATGCAGTAGCATTGCGATGGTCCTTTCCATTCTCCTGTAGCGACATCTTTGTATTGAACAAAACCACTAGTTCCACGCCTATTTATACCGGATTTCAAACCCAAACTGTGTATTACTACTGGTGGTTCTTCCTGATCATCTGTGAGCCGTAAATAATTTAACACATACACTGCTTTTGCAAGTCGCTCTGCAGCAGACAAGACCTCTTCCCCTTTTTATTTTTGCAAAAGGGGTTTCAAGGTTTGGTGCACTCTCTCCACGATGGCTTGTCCTGTGGGGGAGCGTGGTATACCTGTGATGTGACGTATACCCCAGAGTTGGCAAAAATGAGTGAATTTTTGAGAGGTATAGGCTGGACCATTATCAGTTTTAATTTGCACAGGCACTCCCAGTGCCATAATTGCAGCATGCATGTGTTTAATTACATGTTGTGCTGTTCCAGTCTGTGCCATTGCCCAGAGCGCTAGAGAAAAGGTATCAATTGAAACACACACATATTTGAGCTTGCCAAATTCTGGGATATGGGTTACATCCATCTGCCAGAGTTGTAGAGGCCGGAGTCCTTTAGCATCAGCTACAGGAATGTGAAATTGCTTAGCCAGCACTTCTGCTGACTGATGAAAAAATTCATGTGACAACCTGGCTTGTTCAAAGGTTTTAACGACAGGACCTTCCAGGCTGGAGCAACAAGCTGATCACCCCGAGCGTTTCCCAATCCACATTGCTGATGACTGCGAATATGCATAATAAAATACTCATCCTTGTGGGAGACATCAGCCTGTCAGCCCTACACAGCCTCTGAAAAGCAGCTAGGCTTTGATGAGAAACAGGCCTTGGGAGAAAGATAAGAAACTGCTGGGTTGTGCCAAGGTGGCAGGGAAAAACAACGGACAACTGCAACACTGACCTGTGGAAAAACTTCTGAAATGTGAGAAGTTACCGCTGCCTGAACAGCGCGTGAATTGAGAAGTTGATTGTTCTGCACAGCGTGTGTTAGAGTGGTCTTATGCCGATAGGAGAAGAAGTTGGTAACTGTCTAATTGCTGATTTGCTAATTATGGAGCAAGAGCTTTGGCGAGAGCATAAGTATGTACTATTAGAAAAATAAACAGCTTTGCATGTTATAGAGTTGTGCAGGTTCGATATCCTCCCGCAACACATCCTGATGCTGGTTTAAAAGGGTTAGTAACTGTAACAACAGAGTGTAACATAGGATTCTTTACAGGTTTTACCATGCTGTGTTCTAGATGCTGTACGGTACCCACAACATATAATGAGTCTGATACTACATTGACAGGTTCTTGATACCAGTGTTGAAATGCCGAAATGACAGCTCAGAGTTCTAAAGTCTGTAAGGAGTCTCCAGACACCCCTGGGAGTATTTTGTGTTCCCAGGCCTCCCCTTCCTTCCAGGTGACTGCAGCCCTCCAAGATTTTCGTCTGGCATCAGTGAAAACAGTGATCCCTTTCACTGGAACTTCTGATTGCATGGGTACATTTTCAAACCACTGGTGGGATAGCAACGACAATAGCTTGTCCAAAGGATAACTATTGGTGATAGTTCCTAAAAAATCAGCAATTGCTATTTGAAATTCTGTCGAAGCGGTTAGTAACCAGTCCAAATATAACCGAGAGACAGGAACATAAATAACTATTGGTTCAAGACCTGAGATGTCTACAACTCGCTGTCTTCCTTTAATGATAAGCTGCAAGAACAATTCATGATGTGTAACAATTGTTTTCCTGGGCTGGAAGGGGAGAAATAAACATTCCAAAACTCGTAAATTTGGTTTTCTCTCACTTAGCTAGATAATAAGCCCTAATGGGTGTTCACGCTCACCTCCAGTTAATTAACATTAGGGAAGAGCTTTATCTTCCAGTCCCCTGTGAGTATAAGCTGTTATTATTTTATGGGTTATGACCTGCAATGCTTGTCATTGAGCCTCATCCAATTGACGGCGCTCCTGAGCTTGCACAGATGTTCCCAGGAGTGGCATCAACGGTTTCAGATCATCGTTCGTAATTCCACAGATATTACAAACCCACTGGATGTCCCCTATTAATTTCTGTACATCAGACAGGGTTTCTATTGTTGTGTTAACTTTTACCTTTTGGGGACGAACCATTCCATTTGTAATGACCCAGCCCAGATACAGCCATGGTTTCTCTTTCTGAATTTTTTCTGGCGCTATCCTCAACCCTCTTTTCCCAAGACTGTATTGTAGCTGTCCCAAAATTGTCTTAGAGTCCAGCTTTTTTCCTGCTATCAAAATATCATCCATATAATGATAAATAAGTAAATGAGGATACTGTTTCCAGATGGGTTCTAAAGCCCATGCAACAAATGACTGGCACATCATGGGTGAATTTTTCATTCCTTGAGGTAACACCACCCAATGATACCTTTTTGCTGATTCAGCCTTATTTACCGATGGCACTGTAAAGGCAAACCTTTCAGCATCTTCTGGATGTAAGGGGATTGCAAAGAAACAGTCTTTTAAATCAATTATTACCAGATCCTAATTTTCTGGCAACATAATTGGGGAAGGCAAGCCGGGTTGCAGAGCACCCATATCACATATAACAGTATTAATTGCTCATAAATCATGTAATAGATGCCATTTCCCAGATTTTGTATGAATTGTAAAGATTGGGGTATTCCATGGGCTAGTCGAAGGTACAATGTGTCCAGCATCTAGTTGTTCCTGTATCAAATCATTAATAATCTGCAGCTGATCCTGTTTCAGCAGCCACTGGTCAATCCTTACTGGATCATCAGTCCTCCAGCTTAATTTTAGGATTGGCTACTGTACTGTGGCCACCCCTAAAAAGGCGAAGTAACCAATCAAGCTCCCACCTGACTGAGCAGATCTCTTCCCACCAGTGCCACAGGCAGATGCATTACATAGGGACACGTGGTTACTTCCTTGCCATCAGAAAACATAAAATGCGATTACATCCCTACTGATGGATGTGACCTGAGTTCCTCCAACCCCCACAATTCCTGTACTTGCTGGCATTAAAGGCCACTGCCTAGGCCACTTATAAAAGGGTACAATTGTTACATCTTCTCCAGTGTCTATGATAATTTGTAATTTACTTGTCTGTCCATTGGGGTGTCTCATCTCCATCTGCTCCTCTGGCTTCCCTTGACAAATGCCCATGGCTAACAGAACATCTGGTTGTCCGGTGGACCCAAAACCATTTTTTCTCCTCTTCCTCTGTTCTGCATTGAGTAGTTTTGATTCAAATGGGATTAACTGAGCAATTTTGTATCCTTCCATTATGGTTAAAGGAGGAGTGAGTATCATGGAGTGATTATCAAGACCATAATCTTGATTTTTCTCTCAAAGTCAGCATCAATAAGTCCTGGGACGACAAAAATACCTTTCCTAGATACTAAAGAACGTCCGATTAATAAGGCACTTAAACTGTGTCCCAGGGGTCCTGTAAGATCTGATTCAACTAGTTGTACCACGGTATCTGTAAGGGATACAGCTACAGCTGTTGCCAAGTCCACTCCTACACTTCCGGAGGCGGCAGTGGACTAGCGGTCCGAGCACCTTGAACTTGTGTCGTAGTGCAAGGGCAGGTCGTGCTCCGTGTCCCATTTCTCTTTTTTCGACATTCGTTGGTGCTATGATTATCTTTCTGGCACTGCTTGCACCATTTTCTTTGCCGTGGCACACCCGCCACTCCATTGTGCAGGGGACTATGACACTGCGCTTTAAAGTGTCCTAATTTCCCACAATTAAAACACTTCTTACTTTTCTTTTCCTTACTGCTTTTTTCCCTGTAAAACCAGTTTCACTGCTGCTCCTACCGCAGCAGCCATAAAGGCAGCCTTTTCCTGGTCCAGCATTCGCTCTGCTGCTCCCAACAGCTGACGATCTGTGAATCCTCGTGGCAGGAGACTCAAAACTTTCTTAGTCTTTTCATTAGCATTTTCATAAGCCAACACATCAAGAAATTTGACTTTCATTTCTTTGTTCAAATCCGGATTACTGTTAATAGCAGCACGTAACCTACAAATAAACTTTGGAAAAGGTTCCGTGGCACCTTGCTTTATTCTTTTGAACATCAGCGTCACTTTCTCATTGTGCATGGCCAAAATAATTTTTAATGCCAGCTCTTGGGCTAAGCACAATACCTCCAGCTGAACACCTGCTTGCCGATCAGGTTAGCAAATGGACCCGACCCTAGCAACATCTGGGACTGTACCCCATATAAGGGATCCCCTTGGTGACGGGGTGTGGCAGCCGCAGCTTCACAGGCTTCTTGCCAGTGATGGAAAAACTGTAATTGTTGAGATGTTGTTAACAATGTCTGTATAATCATACGCACATCATATGGCGTTAACAGGTTCGCTGTAAAAATATACTGAATCACAGAAGTAGTGTATGGCGATTTCAAGCCATATTGGGTGACTGCTAATTTTGCTTCTTTTATCATTTTCCAGTCTAAGGCCTCCCACGCATTACCCTGTGGAGTTGCCACCATCGGGAATGCCGTTGGCCCAAGCTGATTAAACTGCCTCTCTTCTACTGCATCTCCAATAACTCCCCACCAAGGATGTGCTGGATTGCTATTAACACCCATGTCTCCCAGTGTTCCCCTCAACATTTGTGTCGAAGGCGGCGGCGGTCCAGCAGCCAATGCTTCCTCTTGATCCCCCAACTCCATATTGCTTTGTAAAAAGGGGTTATTGGGAAAAGTAGGAGGTGGTGGCGCCGTGGGAACAGGCTGGGCAGATTCTTGCATTCGCGTTTCAAGCTGCTCTAACTTTCTTATTAAATCTTGTAGCTGTGAGTCTCCAAAGCCATGATGGTGTTCATGCAACGACTGGGGTGACAGCGGTGAGGACAGGGGTAGAGGTGGATGGATTCGTTCTGGGGATCGGTCCCTCGGGCTTGGTATCAGGGACTCAGGTGGTGATGAAATCTTTGGGGGTGTGGATGGTGGATCTGCTACGTGTGCCTGCTCCCGGTTCTCCCTTCTAGATGAGGGCAACAGCACTGACGCTGCTTGTGGGACGGCCCCCTTGCCTTTTCCCGGGACTGCTTTTGGGAATATGGGCCCTGCAAACATCATCGATGTGGCAGATTCTTTAGAACTTTCTGCCTCCGCCGAGAAGGCAGCAAAAGTGGAGGCGGTGGCTTGCTGTTCCATTTTCATGTCTTTTAAAGTTTCTTGAATCAACCTCCACAATGTGGAGAATTTTACACTTTCCATGGAACCTGAGCTAATGTCCTCCCACAGTGCCACACCGATCTTGTCCCAAGTCACCAACTCAAAAGCTGCGCTCACTGAGGGCATTAATCCGCGCTACCGAGCCCGTGACAGCAACTTTCTCAGGTTTCCCTCATGGTATGATAACCCTCTCTTAGAGAGAATATGTTGGAGGAGCTTAACCACTGCCGCTTCTTCTTTGCTTAGCGTGGACCCCATCTCCTCCCCAGCCGCTCACCTGATCAGGGCGAGGTTCCGATGACTGCGTTAGCGTCCGCCAGGCGCCGGGGCAGCGCCTGCTACGGCTGGCTTCCGCCGCTCGGAGCCGTCTCTCCTGCTCCGGGAAGCACCGACGGGAGGGTCCCTGTCCGGGCACCGCCTGCACGGAAGTCACGGACACCACGTACACACGACCGATGAGATCGGGTTGATGCCACTTTATTGAGGGATACGCAGCAAGTTAAACTTTAGCACAAAGCACACGCGCTAAGCTGCGGCTGCTGACTGGTTAAAGCTGCGTGTTTACGCGCCCCTCTACCTTCTAGGAGTGGTCTGAGCGCGGTGTTCACGCGCCTCGTCCCGTGACGCCGACATCCCGTTTTCCTCGGTGTCTCGGTCCAGCTTCCCGACCTTCCCGCCACGTACGCAGTTCCCCCGTCCCCGCGGTTACGGGCAGGCCGCCGCCCCGGGTGGCTCCGGTGTGCGCTGCC